GATTGGGCTATGCTTTCTTTAAATTTAGATTCTCGCCCCATGCTAAAACTAAATATTCAAGGACATGAATTTAATAGGCTACTGGATACAGGTGCGTGTGGGCCACCAAATGCCGCAGTCTGGCTGAGCACAATTCAGGAGCCACTTTATATAGTATGTTAAGAGGCAATAAAGACCATGAAGAAAAGTAARTCGGTATAGGGACATAGGTAATGCTGGAGTATGGGTGAAGATATGGTCATTGAAGGAACTGAGAGGAGCCATGCAAGTAGCTGGAGGAGAAAGGCTGTAGACAGAACAGAAGGGCAACAGCTCCAAGTGGAGTGTATCTGGATGAGGAACATCTGGGAAGCAGTCATTATGGGGAGGCGGCCAGTGCCTCATTAGGGGGTTCTTCTTCCTGTTCAGGAGCATGTAAGCCACCTAAGAAATTAAAGTCTAGAATAATTAGGAACCAAAGACAAAAAGTCAAAAAGAATAGTTTTGGGGGGTAACGTGAGATACTGGGGATTGAACTCAGGGGCATTGAGCCACATCCCCAGCCACATCCCCAGCCCTATTTTGTATTTTTATTTAGAGACAGGGTCTTTCTGAGTTGTTTAGTACATCGCCATTGCTGAGGCTGGCTGTGAATTCATGATCCCCCTGTCTCAGCCTCCCGAGCTGCTGGGATTACAGGCATGCACCACCAAAGGGAGCTTGGAGTACCTAAAAGATCCAGCCCACACAGAAACTGGAGCTGGACAATTAGAAAATGATTCCCGTGGTTTATTTAATGGAGTCCATCAAAGTCAGGGGTGAAACATCTTTATCGATTTTGTTTGGATGACCTATTGATGATACGGTATGTTGAAGTCACCAGTATTATTGTATTGGGTTCTGTTTGAAATTTAATGTCAAGGTTTTTTTAATGTAATTAGGCACACTTGAAAGAAAAGTGGCTCAGGACTAATCACACACACCCAGGATAAGAAGTGGGTTTATTTTCAGGAGCCTGACGAGGTTGCTGTGCCAAAAGAGAGGGACAGCAGCAGCAACTCCCCCTTGAATGTTACCTTTATACGCTAGAATCATGGCCACCGGCTAGGGGTGGTGGTTTTAGCCTTGACTGACAAAGTGAGCATCCCCTGAGCTTGTGGAAGGCAAGTTTGTTTCTTGGGAAAAAAGACAGGCAGTTTTCCTATCTCTCAGCAGGGGGGTGAAGAAAACTGGCAGGTCCCTTTATCTTCTCAAGGAGAGAACAGGGAAACCAGTATGTTCCCATCTCAGGGGCTGGTAAGTTGTCTCCTATGTCTCAGTGAGAGAACAGGAAGAAACCAGCTAGTCTCCAGATTGGTAGGTTGTGTCTCGGGCTAGTTTCTATTACTTGGGAATAAGAACAATATTCAAAAAGTGGGAGTGGGGGAAAGGAAGGTGGCCGCAATTATGCTAACACTGACATTTGGGACATAYGTATTTTCTGTTGTTATATCTTCATGTTGGATTGTTCCCTTTACCAGAATGTCGTGGCCTTCTTTGTTTCTTCTGTTTGATCTTTGCTTGAAATCTTTGTCAGCTATAGAGTATAACTACGCTTGTTTCCGGACTTTGTTTGGAATGTTTTTCTGTTCCTTCCCTGCAGCCTGTGAGAAGTGTCTTTGCCTATGAAATGAGTCTTGTAAACCGCACATAGTTGAGTGTTGTGTTTTGATCCATTAATCTACCCTAACTCTTTGAATTGGGGTWTTGAGACCATTTACATTCAGTGGTGTTTATAGATGTGTGTTGATGGTTTCCTGCCATTTTGTTTTGTTTGCTGTATTTAATTCTGTCTTGATTCTCATTCAGGTTGTTATTCTTCTGTTGATCTTCATCTGTTTGGGAGCTTCAGGATTTGTTTGTGGGTTCCTCAGTGTGCAGTATATCTTTTGAGTATTCTTTATAGTGCTGGATTGGTGGTAATTCTTTTAATTTATTCT